TTGGTTAGAACTAGGATCGTGCATTTTCCGCGCTTATTTTCTATCTTTAAATCTTGTCGTCGAATTAAATATTACGCCTTTTGAATATGTAAGAAAGTCGTCGTCGCAGGGGACTACGTGCTTGGAAAAATAGGCGAACGGTAGCGGAAGGTGGGCAGGGGGGGGTCGGGCGCAAATGTTTAAAATAAACCCGTTTTTCAAGCTTTTCAGTTTGCCCCGCTACTGCCAAAGGACGTAACTTAATTTCGTCGCTGGGCTAAGGATCAATTTGAAATTCTAAAAGCTCGCCGGACGAATTGATTTTATTACACTCGTGTACAAGACAAAACTAGCGCAAAGTTACACAAAAGGTTCGCGAAATAAAGCAAAATAAATGCTTGATTAAGCGGCCACTTAGAAATAGACACGTTTCATTTACGCTTCTCAATTGATGCAGACATGCAATTGTTAGTTAGTATTTTAAAAACAAAAATAATGCCTCTAATATTGCTGCTTTGCACGAAGGCGGGTCGAATGTTATTGGCCTTGACATAGCAAGTCTTGATTCAAATAGATATTAAAATAAACTGAGAGACTTACTGAAACTCAAGTTTATACTTAACCATGAAGAATTAGGTGCGTTCACACTGGAGCAAAAGTTCGTTAGATAGATCAATTGAGGGACGAATTGAGCAAGATCCTGGCAACAAAATTTGTTACGGTGGATAGCCTTTGAGTGTGTTAGTATAATCCAGACCATGGAATTGCAAGAGCGCACCTTAGAAAGTTTCGTTGAATAGCATGAATGAATCATAAACTATCAAATAACCATCCGGGCTGCAGATTTGGTGCCTGATGAACTCGCACCGAATGAATAGTGAACCACGCGGTAGACAGTAGCTACACATTTTTGCATATCGATATCAAATCGAGTTGTTTTTTTTTTATTGAAAGTATTCTAGACTGTTCAAACCCGTTCGAACCGGAAACTAATTATTGGGGCGCCTATGACTAAAATGAAAATTTCGTTCATATAAAAGCCTTTTACTTTTATATTACACTTAACCAACCATGCTAAGAACAATTTAAAATTTTTCGGTTAGTAAATTAAATAAAAACTCCGTTAAACAGTATTATTTAAAGGTTAATGTTGGTAGTATGTACTTCTATTTTTACAAATATATTTGGAGGCAAATTAATTTGCTGATATCTGCAACTCGTGTAGTATAGGGTTAGTATCGCTAAAAAATTGTATCAATAAGTTAGTGGGATGAAGTTAGCAAAATGGCACGTTCGGAAAGTCGATTAAATTTTGGTTAGTTGGCCTCCGCCTTTGGGTTTTAGGTCAGATAGATGCATCCTGTATATTTCGTTTAAAATAATGTTTTGTTTTGTTTTTTAATTTATTTTGTTCAATTTGAATTTTAATAAGATTTTTACTCGAACTTTGTAACGCCCTAACCCTCCGTTCTTCGCAAAGCGGTTAACTAAGTACTAAGTACAATTTAATAGAAAGACGCTTTAGTGGTGTTGTAAAACGTCTCAGAAGGCAGACAAAGAGCAAAAGCTCTGACGACATCAAAGCAGATAAAAAGACTTTTGATGAGGCACGCGTGTTTTGACGTTTCTGTAGAGAGGGGAGATTTCAAATTTCTTTGGAAGCTCAAAACGTGTTTGGATCCCGCCGAGAATTCGAGCTTTTCTGAATTATATTAATCATTAAAATTCAACAACTGGCGTTGAAGGGTTTGCTTCGTATTGACAGCATGAACAGGACTAGAAGGAGCTTTCTTACGCCAAGATCACACAGTTTTCGACCGTCTTTATGGGGAATTTAATTTTTTCTTTAAACCTAAGTTTCATGTTTAAGAGTGCCATCAAATGCTAGAAATAGGGCTTCAAGCATAAAGCCAAATATATAAATAGCAATAATAAAAATAATGTCTGCGAAATTTCACGGGGCTCTTATTAATCAAGTACTCAACTACAAATTACAAATTAACAATATCAACTAATTAACTATCAATTATAATGAAGAAGCTCAGTACTAGGTGTTATATGCAAGCAACGAAATAAAACAAATAAAGATAAAATGATCTATACAAAGAGTGTATTAATTTTGTAAGCTATGCTTAGCTACTTCTACAGGGTGTTTTTTTTTCGATGTATAGAACTTTAAGTTGGCATTACTGTTCAAGATGGCTAACGATTTAACAGCTGTCAAGTGATTTATTCTCAGTTTGGTTTGGCAATTCATCATTAACAGACTCACACCTGAACGACGCTTGCAAACAGTGCAATTTTATTTCGAAAATAATAGTTCTGTGCGGAATACGTATCGCGCACTACGTCCATTTTATCGTCGACAAAATCATCCATCAGAGCAGTTAATTCGATTAACCATGGAACGTTTTCGCACCACGTTTACTATTATTGATAACCCGAATGAGTCCATCCGCCATCGAGCACAGAAATTGGATCTGTGTCCATCCACTTTAGGGAAGATTTTGCGGACGGATCTTGATTTACGTGCTTACAAAATCCAACTCGTGCAAGAATTGAAGCCAAATGATCATCAAGTAAGACGTAGATTCGTCGAATAGGCCCAAAACGAGATTGCCGTTGTTTTCGATTTTCATAAGCGAATTTTGTTTAGCGATGAAGTGCACTTCTGGTTGAATGGCTACGTCAACAAACAAAACTGCCGCATTTGGAGCGAAGCTAATCCTCAAGTGTATGTCGAAACACCGTTACATCCAGAAAAACTGACTGTTTGGTGCGCTTTATGGGATGGTGGAATCATTGGTCCGTACTTCTTCAAAAACGATGTTGGCCAGAACGTTACAGTCAATGGTGATCGGTATAGAGCTATGATTACTAACTCTTTCATTCCTAAATTGAATAACCATGATGTCCAGGAGATGTGGTTTCAACAAGACGGCGCAACATGTTACACAGCTCGTGTCACAATCGATATATTGAAAGACACGTTTGGTGACCACCTAATTTCACGTTTTGGACCTGTGAATTGGCCTCCAAGATCTTGTGATCTAACACCGTTAGACTACTTTCTGTGAGGCTATGTAAAGTCATTGGTATATGCAGATAAGCCACAAACGCTTGACCATTTGGAAGACAACATTCGCCGTGTTATTGCCGATATACGGCCAAAAATGTTGGAAAAAGTCATCGAAAATTGGACGTCCGGATTGGACTACATCCGCGCCAGTGGTGGCGATCATATGCCAGAAATCATATTTAAAATGTAATGCCACAAGATTATCTTTCGGATAAATAAATTTCATGTCAATCGAATAATCCATCGTTGTTTTATTGCAACTTAAAGTTCTATACATCGGAAAAAAAACACCCCTTGCATGTAATATAAACTGCAGTGATATTTTAGATAGATTTTCAGATTTTTTTTTCAAAGAAACTTCCATAGACTACTGCAATACTTCTTGCAAAACTTCTGGATTCCTCCTGCGTCGGTTTTTGTTGAGTCAAACTTGCGATTTTTGCAGTTTCAAATCGAATTTCATTAGTTGTTAAAAATGGCAATTTGTTTAGGATAAACTCCAGATTTGAAATTATTTCCCTTTTTGGAAATAAGTGGGACAGAAAGAACTGATTTTTTTGTTTCAGAAAGTTGGTGCAATTATACATTTATCACAGTGCTTGGTAGTTGAGAGGAGTTTGATGGTTTCACTAGTGTTGACGTTAGTTTCAGTTAAGCTCTGAAGAAGCCAACAGGATGATTGGCGAAACGTTAACAAATTTGACTCAACAAAAACCGACGCAGGAGGAATCCAGAAGTTTTTGTAAAAAGTAAATTTCGAGATATTTTTCACTTAAAGTGACAATTTGGATGGTGTTACTTTCAAATATTTTCAAGAATCCTGAAAGTTCTAATTTTTTAAATTTAAAAAATTCACTTTACATAAAATTTTAGGACCAATAAAATCTCAATATAGTAAAGTTAACATATACAAATGTTAACAAGTAATAGTATATTATGCAACATGTTGCGGTAAAAGACACTTGAGTCACGAGTTCATTTGACCCGAGCGGAGCGGGCCTTTAATAAAGTTTAATAAGTGACTTAAAAAGTTTACCAAACATGTCCATGCTATATTTTTCTATGACTGCTAATTTTTGGCTACATTTTTGCAAAAAAAAAACACTAATACATTCACTGACATGAGCATCAGAATTGCCAAACGTCAAAATTCCAGCCCTGCGGTAAAATCTTCGAAAACATTCGATTTTTCAGTACGGCAATATCCCGGAAATGTCCGAAAGGGCTCGGATCCGTGGGACAAGAAACTGACGTAGTAAAGTGACGCTCTCCGCGCGCCAGAGGAAGGAGTAAAGGAAGAAGTAAAACAATAAATAAATGTCAGCATATGATTAGTCCAGTTTTGATTCTTCACCACAAATATAATCTGATACAACAATGTTATCAAATCACAGTCAGAGGCTTATTTTACTAAAACTTCGCAACCCCCGGCGCTATCTTTAGTTTAGTTGATGTTTTTATGGCTGGTGAATTTTGATCCATTTTTTTATCAAATAATCTTTAAATATATCTCATGCGTTAGAATCGAAACCATATTGTAGCTTATGAGGGTAGGGGATTAAGGATACTAAATGCATCCAGCACAAAGGCCCACCAATGTCCATCAGCTAGTCGAATTTTTTTATTCAATATCAAATCTCTTTCTATATTTACCAAATTGAATTTGACCGCTAAGAGTTAAGTTAGAAGCAACATTAGATTGATTTTAGTCGTACTTTTTTTTGACCAATATAAAGTGGGATTCTAAACGTTATCTCGATTGTTTTATCACGTTATGTTAACACTCGTACATGTAGATATGACGAAATTAGCATAATTCTTGTAATGTCATTTGGTTACCACGCCAATGTTGTGGATGAAAAACATCGTCACGTTCTGTAATTATACGGAAGAAATTCCAAGTTCAATTAGATACCAGTCGATTGCTGTTTATAAACACTTCCATTCACGATCCGAGAGACAGACGTAAACGAAATATTACCGTGAAGATGTGTGTGAACACCGAAAATTGCCACTGCGAAATAAATGATTGGGTCGGCGAGATGCTGAAGCGGGAAAATTTGTCGAAATACAACGTAATTGTGAACGGGACATCTGAAAAGGGAGACGGATATTTGGGTGACATAAAATTCGTACACGTGTGGGGAAATGAGTCCGACGGCAACGTACGCGAATTCGACCTCGTCATAAAACACGGAAAGAAGAACGAAGACCTACGGCAGAAATTGCCAGTGCGACTTGCTTTCCAGCGCGAGATTTTTGTTTACACCAGAGTCATGCCTACATTCCAAACGTTTCTGATGGAGAAAGGCCTATGTAGGTTCGATGCGGCTCCCAAATGTTACGGTACGCTACTTCTAGATGATCAAGAGGTTATAGCTTTTCAGAATTTGAAGAAAATTGGATACGAGTTGCACGATAGAAGGATTCCGATGGATTTGGAGCATCTCCGGCACACTTTGGGAGTTTACGGGCAGTGGCATGCAATGTCACTCGCTCTTAAGGATCAAAATGCGGAACAGTTTGAAAAATTGGGACGCTTGGGTTGCGTTTGGAAGGCTTTCTCGAAAAATAAAGAGTTTCAGGACATGATTGTCGGCACCGAAAACGTGTTTCGCAGTATCCTCGAGGAAAGAAATGAAATTGAGCTGCTGCGTAAATTTAAAGAGATGATAAAGCCGTCGATCTGGGACGTTTGGCAAGAATTGTTACAAGTAGATGAAGAACGGAGCGTGATTAGTCACGGCGATTGTTGGAACAACAATTTTATGTTTAAGTATCGGGTACGTTTTTCTGTTTATCTACAATGCGATTCACTAGTCTAAACTAAACATAATTGCATAATTTAATTTTTAACTCCTATTTTGACTATATCATTGAATTCACAATTTTAATTAAAAGATGAATAACATAGTTGTAATAATATATATTTCAGAAAATCGTTGAATTGTTGCTTTTAAAGGAATTTGTGCATTACGTAAATTATTGCAATTGACCGGTTAATTTTTTTTTGCGTCAATTGAAATAATGTTAAAAATTCTATGAAGTTTATGTTTATTTATTTATAATTATTTATATTGCTCGTTACGTCATTCTGGGAACTAAATGGAGTCGGTATAATTATTGGGTTTCCCCGAGTTGTTAGTTACCATATTCCTTGAAGAGGATTATAGGGAAATTGGACATCACAAACGCATAGTAATTTATTATAAAATACATATTATTATTAAATAATGATAGATAACTGATAAAGATAATTGGTCCCAACACTATAAATTGTGTATGCACATGACATAATGCTCAGTTTTGAATAAATAGAGATCAATTTTTAAAAATTGTATATTATTTTGTAAATGCATTGTGAAAAATCAGGGTGATTTTCTGTGAGTTATCATATCTCTAGTTATTTTTGGTTAATTAGGTTTTGGTTAATAGTTTTAGTTGAGATGAGATAGTTAGGTGTGATATATAATAATCATCTGCCATTTTTACATTTACATTTGACATTTTCAATGACTAATGACCGAGGAGAATGGAGCATTCTGTATATTGTAGTTGTCAAATAAAAGCAATCATAGTTTGGATTAATTTCTATTTGTGTTTCTTAATTAATGTTATGTTACGTTTAGGTATATTATATTATATATTATTTATTATTATACTTATTATTAGACCGAGCCTTATTTATTAAAATGACAGGGTGCCTAAAGTCTCTGTATGTGTAATTATTTCGACAACACCATTGCTGAACTGAAAGTTAAGATTTGAAATGAAATGGCCACAGGTTTTTTGATATTCCGATTAAACTTTTTTCTATATTTCAGGTCGAAGACCGACTACAGCCTACCAAAGTATCTCTCCTGGATTTCCAACTTTCGCGCTTAGCATCTCCCGTGTTTGACCTGTCATACCACCTTTACCTAGTTTGTTCTGAAGAAGAACTGAGAGATTTTACGAAGTTGTTACGGATATATCACAAATCTCTGTCGCATCACCTGAGGCACCTAGGTAGTGATTCGGATAAACTATTTCCATTTTCGACGCTGATCGATCACTGGAAAAAGTATTCGCTCTTTGGATTGATACTGAGCGGAACAGTCCTGCCGCTCACCACAAGCGATAAAGAGGACACCTTGAACATTGAAGATTTGGACGGGGATTCGATTTCGAATTTGCTAACGAAGTTTGCTGGAAGTTCCAAAACGAATTTGGAAAATAGAATCGTGGCGATTGCGAGACACGCGGTAGAATTTGAATTTTAAGTACATTGCATTTGGACAGCAGTGTGTCAATGTGAACAATGTGTCATGCATATGTTGACCATTGTGACTACAGGGTCGCCAATGGTTTTTTCAGATAAGTCCAATCGCATCTGGGCTACATTTTTCATACAGTCGTTTTATATCACTTAATACATTCAAAATTTATAGCTATTTATTGCAATATGGCAATGTTTTTGTAAATTAATGTTTCAAAGGTGTGGGTAGACATGTGCAACCCGGAGTTGTTTATGTGTATGTTAAACTAGTTTTTACAAGATGATACCACAACTTCTTAAAAGGCATGTAAAAGAGATTAAAATTCATTTTTAGCAAAAATGTGTTTTTATCTAACTCGGTGTACCATTAATTCACAAAATACAAAAATACATACAAAATACAAAACTTTGAAGGCTATGGAAAAAGGGATGGCGCAATCGCAATCGCTTTTTCTTCAGAGGAACTGAACGGTGAAAATGACAAGAACTCGCTAATGTCTTTGGTTTTTAGGTTATATCGAAATGGCCAGTTTGGTTTGTTTTGTTTTTGAAGCGATAGAAAAGATATTTAGACATTGTTCGGTTTTTTCTTTCATAGAATGGCACAATATTAACATATTCTGAATATCTTCTTTTGTTTTTTGTTATAATATAAAGGTGCGTCTTTTTATATGCAACTGATAAGTGCGCTAAATCGTTTTCGGTTTTCATCATATAATCCAGTTTTCAATAGCTTTTATATTTATGGATAGGAATTTTCATTTACAAAAGATAGGAAAATCTATCTTTATTCCATCAATTCGAACAGTGAGTATGAGTTAATTGAATTGGCTCTTGCTTATTCTCTTGAAACTCCACAGATACAACGATAGTTCAAAAGTTGAATATGTTCTTCATTTTTTTCCACACCAGTGTCATTCAACAGTGCTAGTCAATACTAATGTTGTATGCCGATGTGACAAAATCACTTTGGAATCTCTGGCAAGGGATTTGCTACAATTCCTTATCAAAGTGGCGGTTATTGCGGTTATCGGAAGGTAAAAGCTTTTTTATGTTTTGAGTTTCAATTGTAGCATAGCATTGATTATGAGTGATTGATATACAGGGTGTACCGAAATTAGGCGTGAATATTTTCACTGTCTCTTTGTATTAATAGTGAATTACTGAGTTTTCAATCTCGCCTGCGGATAATAGTAAAAAAGATTTGATAAGTAGGAAAATATGTTCCCTTTATCAAAACCAGATGGTTCTTACTTTCGATAAAGTGCAAAGGAAGCTAGAAGAAAATGAAACCAATATAATTGCCGTGCCCATTGAGTTGTTTGTACAATGAGATTTTAATACTGCAAAATAGGAAATGGAATCGTACAGATTGCGCACTTGGAGATTTAATTACCTTGAGGAAATTAAAAAGTACTGATGCAAAAAAGTTTATCTCGATACATGCGATACAGCGGATTAAAATTTTTGAAATCTGGATTGGAATTTATTGGAAAACAATATATGATCTGAACAGATGGAGAATACTATTTTACGTCTTCCTACACATCATTGTATATTCAACCCGATTGAAAATTTCTGGTACAAGTAAAATCAAAGGAGAGAACAGAAAATGTTTCTCCTACTTTAAGTGCGAGTGTAATAAATTTAATTGAAAATGTAATTAATTAATAATACCTGTTGAGAGGTGGAAAAATTCAGTACAGTTTCACTTTAAAAAATGAAGATAGAAGTAGTCCAGAATTAGATTTTCAATAAAAACGTAATAATAATACCATAACAATTTGTAAATATCTAGTGTCATCGTATCGTTGAAAGTCCGTCCCTGATGCTCTGTCCTACAATACTAACTTAGTTGTTGTTAAAATCCAAAAAACTTTGAGACAAACTATAGTGGAGATCATTTTCATAGTCCATAATATAGTGCAAGGTGAATTAGAATCTTCATCTCTATTTAAAAAAACAATCCTTTCATCACATCGCCTATAAACGGTTTGATAAAATAGTTCTTTTTTCATTGTCCTAGAAGCCTAGAGGGTAAAACGACAAGGCAAAACCACTACCTACTAAAATTACACATTCGTAATTGTAAAATTTGTAATAGCGGAAAAATCCAAGTAGCCTCGTTTGTCTCGTTACTTGGCAATTTTTGAACACCAGGCGTTATCTTATCTGGACTGTATACACCGATTACAATGCAATTTTTACAAAAGGCAAAATTCGTCAATTCAGGGTCAATGTCGGAAATCAGCCAACTGGTTCTTTTTTTTTTTTTGGAAATTAAATTATTTTTGCATGTCGCACTACATAATAACTGTTTATCAGTCGACCTTTTTGGTTAGTAGTTAAGAATAATTATTTATAATTGTACCGAATAAAGTACTACCCGTTTTTAATAATGATTTCTTTTACTAGACCGGTATTTTGTTCCACACAAACGATAATCGAAATAACCTTCGCATATTAAGACGGAGATATGTGGCTGTTGAACGTTGTTTAAGATCATTCCAATAAAACGATTACGTAACCTTGATTACTAGCAATTTTTTTTTTGCGTATCAAATGGGAACCGAGAAATTTTGGTCAAGTAACCTTATCCTAAATTATACATAGAGTTATCTCATTTAGTTTTAATGAATTGCCAGTTTGCTATTTAAATATTTGGATCCGTATGTGCTAATGATAAATAAAATAAAAGTGGAATTGATAAAAAAACGATCCTTGATTCTACTTGCTCTACACTGTGATTAAATGCTTTCGTTGAACTCTACCTTTGAAAAAAAAATGAAAAAAACATTTCGTATACGTTTTGGTGGTATTTGAATAAGTGTATTAACTTATTTTTTCATTTCAATGGTAATTGAAAATTATAAAAATTGAAATTGTTTCTGTCTATTTACTTTTTAGGACTACTGAATCGAACAAAACTTTACAATTTTGTGATTACCTATCTCTTGCTAACTTTCACATAAAATTAAAAATTCAGGAGCTACTATTTTGGTGAATTTAATTTTTGCATTTATTATACGAAAAAGAAGTTTTTAAATATGAAGATAAATTAGGCCGCTCGAAACAATGTCCCATAACTTTTCCATTAGCAGCAGGTGACACAATCAATCAAAATAAGATTTATTAAAGAGATATACGGTGGACACCATATTTTCTAGTACGGAGTGAATACAGTGTCATCTTTACAGGGCAAATAATTATAAAATAAATGTTATTACTTTTTTGATGATTGATTTTTGCTATCGTGTTTGTTATTTTAGAACACTCTGATTGGCAACGTATTCAGTAAATCTGCATCATGCAAAACATTTTTGTAACAAACCATTAAAACAATTTTTTTCTCAGCCTGTAGACATAATTTATTTTTATCGCGGATTAATTCGTTCGCCAAATAACGTCAGATACGCCACAGCCTTTAAGAGTTATTATGCGGTCATTGATAAATAGAAATAAAAACGCAGATTGATTGGTAGTTCTCCTTCAACCGGTGGTCATTCGAGTACCAAGCCGTCCGCGATGAGTGTTTGCGCCGATACGCATTACCAAGTGAGACAGTGGCTCGATGAAGCACTCCAACAGGAAAATTTTAAGGACTTGGAAGTGGACATTAGAGGCACGTCGGAAAAAGGCGATGGCTACCTCGGCGATATCATCTTCGCTCACGTTTTGGCCACTAGATCCAACGACCAAACGGAAGAGTTTAATTTCGTGGTCAAAATCGGCAAGGACGGCAAAGAGTTGCGGGCGAAATTCCCAGTGCGAATGACGTTCGAGCGTGAGACTTTCATGTACAGTACTGTGATTCCTGCATTCCAGAAATTTTTACTCGCCAGAGGTTGCAAACCCTTAAATTACGTGGCTAAATGTTTCGGAAATTTAATGCTTGAAGATAGGGAGGTAATAATATTTCAAAATTTAAAGAAATTGGGATACGAGCTTCATGATAGGAAAACCGCTTTCAATCTCAATCACTTGACCCGAACCTTGGAGGCGTATGGTCGGTTTCACGCGCTGTCGTTTGCCATGAGGGACCAGGATCCCAAACAGTACGAGAAACTGTCTGGAAGCATGGAATGCGTATGGACAGCATTCCACAAATCGGAAGATGGGAGAGCTCTCCTTCGAAATTCCAAAGACCCGCTGGTGAAGATATTAGTGGAACATAATGAGACGGGGCTTTTGGAAAAATACAATCGTCTAATGAAGGACGGAATCAACAACGTCTGGCAAAACGCGCTTGATGCCTCAGAAGAATATTCTGTTATCTGTCACGGTGACTGCTGGAACAACAATTTCATGTTTACATATGAGGTGAGTTACTAATTTGGAACTTTAAGTAAATTGCAAATAAAAACAAGTGAGAGCTTAATTGACCATCGGTAGAGGATCTTTTCCGATATATTCGTTATTCAAAGATAGCGGTTGTATTATGTTGGAACCGTTTTTAACGGAAATAAATATGAATAAAATACGAACCTGATGTTTGTTTATATAATTTATATCCGTTTTAGGGTTCAAAAGTTCAAAACAGACCGAATTACCAAAAACGTAAAAGATAATACTTTTCGGAGTCAAAACATAGCGAACATAAAATTTTAATTAACCGTTACGGATAGCAGTTTAAAATGATTTAAATTATGGAAGAAAAAGTTAGTTCATTATTTAAGATTCTGGCACTGATGTCATGAAAAAAAAACATACTTTTAAATTCGCTGTTTCATTTCTGTTAGAGGGTTGCAATGACAAACTATTTAGAAAATGAAAAAACTTTTTTTTCAAATTTTTCTTGCATAATTAACTAGTTTTCCGGATATATCGAACTTTTGGGAGATGTTTATGTCACTTACTTTTAAAGGTAGGATGGTGCTTTTTTCTAATAATGATACTTTTGGGTGAGACGAAGAACGTCACAAACATGGAATTTGAAATTATTAAAAAAAAACATTTATTAGATTTATAGCTTGTATCTACGGAAAAATATTAAAACAAACACCAAAAATTAAAAAATTTTTACTAAAAGCTTATGCGACCTTGATTTTCTAAAGTGGTTGGCTTCACCTGCTAAAAACAATATTAATGATAGTTAACTGCGTTAACAACTCCTATGAGATATTTAATTCAACATTTAATTCAGCTGCAAACTTAATAGTTAATAGGTTTTAAGTTAAACTTCGCTGTTATAAAATGTTCAAAATTACATAAAAAAACAAATCTTTTTTTAATTTTTTAATAACCTCAATTTTTTTCATTGCAAAAAATAAAATTATTGAAAATTCAAACCAGGCATTTATTAAAATTTGACTTACCTTATAACCATCAGACTAGAGGCAAAATGAACTACTTGAAACAATGCAAATACAGATTAGTTGTATGTAGTAGTATACAGTGCCAGCAGTTGATAAAATATAAGTTCTTACTTATAAGTTAAGTTTATTTGTTGCAAATTTTAACGAAAGCACCGATGATGCTTGTGTTACAATTATTATTATAATTAACTCACAAAGTTCCAGATATATGTAGTGCAACCCGGTATATAGAATAAACTTGTTAAAAAAATTCATAATTACTGCACAAGCAATTTTCTAATTAACCTGCTATCCTTGAACTCAAAACAAGAACTAGTTCTGCAGATCTACTGCGACTGTTTAACTTGTTAATATCTATTTTTTTTAATTTTTTAGGCTGAAGATACACTAAAGCAAGATCCTTTGAAGGTGGCGATGTTGGATTTTCAAATGGCGAGAGTGGCAAGCCCGGTATTCGATCTCTCTTACCACATCTACATGGTGTCGTCGGAGGAACTACTTAAAGACTTTCCGAAAATATTGAAGATTTATCACGACTCCCTGAGCAACGAAATTAGGCAATTGGGCAGCGATCCTGATAAGCTGTTTCCGTTTTCCACGCTTCTGGATCAATGGAGGAAGCACTGCGTATTCGGTTTGATTATCAGTGGAAACGTTCTACCTCTTACCTTTACTGAGAAAGAAGATACGATCAGTGTCGAAGATATGGGTGAAAACACTATAGCCGATTCCGTCAACCGAATTAAAGGACCAGTTAGGGCGAATTTGGAAAAAAGGATTATAGCGTTTTTTAAGAATGCTTTGGATTTTTTAGTTTAGGTTTAGGCTTTTGTTTATTAGGTAATGTAAAATAATTATTGCATCAATAATTTCGTATAAAGAATTTGAAATTCTTATTTTTCAGTTAATTGGAAAATAAGGGGCAATACATGTATATAATAATATATATTAGTGTAACTAAACATTAATGGAACTTACAGGTAAACCGAATGCAAGTGATTATATGTATAGCACCTTCTCAGGAAAATGCTTCAAATTGTGACGGAAACTAAAATTACAGTTTTAGCAGCTATTAGAAATAAGTACATCTGTGACTGCTACAAGCAAGTGAAAACTTAGACCAGATATATAAGAAAATTATTAACATAAAATAAGAAGGATTTTAAAAATTATGTAATGCTAACATGACAGCAGATAATTTGTATATAAGCTTATAAGCATATAATTTTCCAAATGTTTAGTGGTGATCCTAGGATCCAAAACCGCCAACTTATGATTAGAAATCCTGATTAGATTTTTTTTTCAGAATTCGTCAGCGAATGATGTAATTTGTAAATTAGGTTCTTTATATTAATTAAAAATGGAGCGTTATTTATTATTTCAGTATCCAATTATATATATATATATATATATATATATATATATATATATATATATATATATATATATATATATATATATATATATATATATATATATATATATATATATTGTGGAGTCTATAAATCCGAAGAAGTGCCTACATTTTCAGGAAGAGCACTGATATACGGCAAATTAACAACGTTCAAATTGCATGTTCGAAAACAAAATATTCGTGACGTACGTTCCTAACTATTGTTTCGTTTAATCGCATTTTTCGTTCGAGACTAGGCAAATAATTGAATAACGTGAACAACAGTTTATTTAGCGATAAACGGTCGAAAACATGCGCGCCATTCATTTTAACCTATGAAATTTGTGTTTAGTTACAAAATGGACGTGTCCCGCGACAAACACCAACAGATCCGGCAATGGCTCGGCGAAATCGATGTTATTAAGCAAGAAAATTTTAAAAATATCGAAGTGACAATTCTCGGGACATCCGAAAAGGGCGACGGTTATGTGGGCGATATTATATTCACCCACGTGTCCGCGGTTAAAGTTGATGGGCAAATCAAAGTTTACGACTTCGTCTTGAAAACTGGCAAGGACAATAAGGAAATTAGGGCCAGACTTCCCGTTAGAAAGACCTTTGAACGCGAAATTTACGTGTACACTACCGTGATACCGGCTTTTCAGCGATTTTTACACGAAAAGGGTTTAGAACGGCTCAGCTGCGTGGCCCAATGTTTTGGTAGTAAGATGCTGAAAGACCAAGAAATTATAATCTTGCAAAACTTAAAAAAATCCGGCTACGCCCTTCACGATAGGCATAGCCCATTCAACTGGAATCACTTGAACCTGACACTGGAAACATACGCCAAATGGCATGCTCTATCGTTCGCGATGCGCGATCAAAATCCAGAAATATTTGTTAGGTTGACCGAGAAAATGGATTGTGTTTGGTCAGCATTTCACAGGACTAACGAGTCGAGATCGTTAATGGACAGCTCGAAAGATAGAGTCGCTAGTATTCTGAAGCGGCATAACGAATCAACATTATTGTCCAACTATAACAAAATGATGGAAAGGGGAATCAAATACGTGTGGTCCGATTTGCTAAATTATAACGAACAGGAGAGCGTCATCTTACACGGCGACTGTTGGAACAGCAATTTAATGTTTAAATACGAGGTAAAGTCTAAAAATTTTGCGTTGTAAACCTCTCTGTGTTATGCAGTTGCCTCAATTCGGGTTTTCGCATATATATATTTGAATTTGTCTTACGCAACTGGGATTCACTCGTCACTGGTAACTAAAATGTCGTTTATCAACCTTGTTGCATAATGCATAATATCTCTGAATTAAGAGAATTAAAATAATGTCAAGTAAGCTACACCCAGTGGTTTCATAAAAATATATGATAAGAGTTAATACTATAGTTTTTAAAGACACCAAGAAAATTTTTCTTATGCTACTGTACTACTATTTACAAAACTTCTGGATTCCTGCTGCATCAGTGGTTGTCGATTCGAACTTGCTAACGTTTCGTTAATCATCCTGTTGGTTTCTTCGGAACGTAACTGAATCTGGCTTGTAATTTACTCTGTATCTGCTAATATATTGTATGAAGGGGGCGGAGCTAGATGAGGATTACTGATTCCCGTATTGATGAAATGTAAAGATCTGAGACGTCGTTAAGATTGTTTGGTTGCTTATAGATTTCTATAGATTCTGTGATTTTTGATGTGCGTTTGCCATTATCTCCAGTTATCGCGAATATATTTATCGAAACCTTTGGGAAGAAAGCTCTCAACACTTTCCATTTTAAACCAAAATTATGGAAACGCTACGTGAATAATACTTTTCTTATTTGGCCTCATGGTCAAAAATCTCTACTAGATTTTCCTAGACATTTCAACTCTATACACCCTAACAATACGTTTTACCATTGAATTAGAACCTATTAATAATTGATTGTGGTTACAGGAAATCTACGCACACAGACCGATACCTTAATGCATTATCACATCATCATCCAGCCCAAAAATCATAGGTTATCATCTCTCTTGTTTACAGAGCCGTAAAACTATCTCAGCCCGAGTAACTAAACCCAGTTTGAAACACATCTGCTCTACTTTTTAGTAATTTCCAAATTAAAGATATTAAGCGTTGCATAACAAAATACACTTCACCACAACCTTCCAGTACAAATGAGTCCGAAAGCAATCCCACACTTGCCACTGTTGTTCCTCCTTACATTCGAAACATCACGGACCACATATCAAAAGTTCTTAAGAAATATAACGTCAAAACCAGATTTACCACTTGTCCTAAAATCTTTCAACATCCTCGAACCATCAAAGACAAAATTCCGTTTGAGCATGTGCGGCATCGGAGAGACCTGACGAAAAATATCAACTAGGCTCAAAGAACATGAAAGGATCTAAGACAAATTAAGTCATCAGCAGTTGCCGAACACAATCACGAAACCTGTCTTAAAATTTTATTCGATAAAATTAAAATTCTTGCATGTAATCAATTCTTCTACCAACGAAAAATCCGAGAATCTATAGAAATCTGTAAGCAACCATACAATCTTAACCGCGATTCAGGTCTTTATCTTTCACCAATATGGGAATCTGTCATCCCAGACGATGTTTATGCCCCCCTCAAAGAATACATAAGGAGGTACAGTGCCAGGAATGCCAGCTAGTTTCACACACACACCCATCAGAAGTTTTGTAAATACTGAAGTGAGTGACAAAGTTAATTTGTCTCCAGATAGTCCACCGTGTAGTGTTTGACTTCGACAACATTAAATGATTTGCGTCCTCAAATGATCTTTTAGCTGTCTTTTTCAAAGCAACTCCTTCATTTTTCAGACTGAAGGCAACCCATCCCACGTAGTAATGTTAGATTTTCAACTGTCCAGGCCTGCAAGTCCGATGTTCGATTTGTCGTATCACCTCTATATGGTCTGTTCTGCGGATCAACTGGAGAATCTGTCGAAAATATTGTTGCAATATCACGGACATTTAAGTAAATACATTCGACAGATGGGTAGCGATCCTGACCAATTGTACCCATATTCGAAATTATTGGAACATTGGAGGACGTATTCGAAAGTGGGGCTAATTCTGGGCGGATTCGTGCTGCCTTTAACCTTAACTGAGAAAAAAGATGTCGTGAGCATAGAAAATCTAACCGCTGACACCGTGACTGACGCTGTCGACAAGATCGAGCCTGAATCTAGAGAGAAACTGGACAGAAGACTCATTGCCATTGTGAAGAACGCACTAGAGTTCAAAATTTAGTTACAAGAATTTGTAAAATTCCGTTAAAAATGTATTTAATTTGTTTGATGTTACTTAATACTATCTTCGATCAAAATCATACGTTTCCTAATACATTATTTAGGTATGTGTATAAAAAGCATCAAGTACTACTACATTTTAGAACAAACATTGAAAAAATATCATTGCCAAATCACCTCATGCTTCTTATGTTTACCAAAAATATTTATCCAAAATTATATTGCTGATCGTAGGTCTTAAATCTGAAAGTCATTTTTGGACTCCATGTCAAGAAATTTTACATATCCGAGAGCACTTTAATAAAGTCAATAAATGAATAAAAGAAATGATAGCCCAGTCGTGACATGGATCACAACAAAGACCAATAAAGAAGAATAAACATGTCAAAAGGTTGAGATAGATATAGATGCATGCTTAAAGTATATACTGCGGACGAAAAATAGAAACTACATGGAGTTAAGTGTGTACTTTTGTGTGTCTACTACTGAAACTGACCAGATGCTTGATGATAAATAAATAAAGAAATTATTAAAAAATCCTTAAATTTGTGGTACTGCTTTTAGTTTATAAGACTCAATCTTGAAATGCAAAACGACGCGAAGCTAGGTATTTATTTTGATGTGTATTATTTGGGGATACGGGCTGTGGGTTAGTCAATTTAGCATATACCTATAAAATTGTCTTTTCAGCTACATACTACAATTTTATTCAAAATTGCTATTGTTGGGGCTGGTCAATTCATTGGGATCAATTGACCAATTGAACTGAGGGGCTTTTACTTGATGAAAATCCATTTAACAAAATAAATAAGAACACAAAGGTCATTTTATCACAAAATTATATATTTTCAACTCTTAGTGCTTATTTATTTTGTCAATTCATCACTTCTTAATTGACTAGTCAAATTCGATCAAATTCTATTAAATAAATGACTGATCAATTGACACAAACAATTGCTGTTAAAGATTCTTTTGTTTCTTTCAATTATTAATTGTGAATTTAAGCCAATCTGTTGTTACGAAGCAGTTCTAGCAAATTAAACACCTTTAGTGCTGGATCATAATGAAAATAAATTGTAGGTAGATATACTAAATACTACAAGTGCAAAGCTAGCAAATCCATTCTACTGAACTTATTGCAGGAGTATCAGATTTAATTTTCCAAACATTTTACATACACATGATAAAAAAAGAATAGTCGAAATGAAACGAATATCGAGAACGAAAATTGAAACGTGTCAACAGTGTATTCCGAATTAATTATACTACTTAAACAATATACGCAGTGAATTTGTATAAAACGTATTACGCGGTAATGGCGGTTGAAATATTTATCAAATGGGGGATAAAAGGAGATAAAAGATTTATAACGTCGTCTACTCGGGGCTATAAATAATTGTTATTGTATTGTAAATGAAAAAATCAGTTGGCCATAATTTTTCTTATTTTTTTTTTTAAATGTACTTGAAGAGTATTTACCAATTCTGCTTCGTGCGTTCCAAACTCAGAATTACCGAGTTTAACGTTTCCAAGTCTTTATAAATTTAATTGTTAAAGTTTAATATTTGGGACGCCTCTTATTTTCGTTATCAAGGTTGAGTAGTACTTGCTCGACAAATTGTTATTAGTTTTAGCTATGATTACCAGACGCTTAATAGTATCCGTGATTTCGTGGCGACAATATGACTACAGGATTGACCGAAGTCGAGGAATGGCTCCGTCAAGGTTTAAAAGAAGAGAATATAACAGATTTGGAATTCAACGTCAAAGGCACAACGGAAGCGGGGACTGGTTATTTGGGCGACGTCGTGTTTATCGAGGCTGACGGTACCAAGGAGGATGGTTCCAAGAAACACTACGATCTTGTCGTTAAAGTGGGAAAAAGAGAAGAGAAGTTCAGAGAAGCTTATGCGGTACGTGTAGCAGGCACCAACGAAATTTTCGTTTACAACCAACTGATACCGATATTTAACAAATTCCGAAGAGATCATAATCTGGAACCGATTCAGTTTTTGGCCAAGTGTTACGGTACTTACTTAACCGATAACTGTGAAGTCGTCATTCTTGATAACCTCTCTAAATCTGGATACCACTTACATAACCGCAAAGTGCCGATGAACAGTCAACATGTAAACGTGGTTCTGAAAACTTACGGGCAATGGCATGCCCTTTCGTTTGCCATGCGTGATCAAAATAGTGAATTATTCGAGAAAGTGGCCGGAAATAATCAATGTTTTTGGGAACAATCTATAGAAAATGCGCGTACACTTGGATTCGATGCTATCATCTCGATTTTGGAGGCAAGCAACGAAACTGCGCTTCTAGGGAAGCTTAGGGAAAAAATTAACAGTGATAGCTTTGCTGAAATTGTGACAGTGGAAGAGCCAACGTCGGTAATATCACATGGGGATTGCTGGAACAACAATTTTTTGTTTACATATAAGGTAAGTGGGTTATTCAATTAAATCGATGCGATAATTTATGAGACTTGTATTTGTTTAGAACCACGATATTCATCACGAAAATCCACAAAAAGTCGCTCTGCTGGATTTTCAATTGTCTCGTCTCTCCTCGCCGGTGTTCGATTTATCTTATTACCTCTACACGGCTTGTTCAGAGGAACAGCTCGGAAACTTTGAAGACCTTCTTCACATTTATCATTCTTCATTGTCCGAAAGTTTGAAGCAGTTGGGGACCGATCCAGAAAAGGTTAATCGATTTTATATTGTTACCTATGCCAATCATGAGTTCGTATTTTAGATGTTTCCGTATAGCACTTTGAGGCGGCACTGGAGTGAATATTCAGTTTTTGGACTTATGCTGTTGGGCACGTTAATTTTTTCGCTAACGGTTGACAAAGAGGACACTTTCGATGCCAAGAATTTTGAAGAGTTCGATCCAACAGCACTAGTGACTAAATATATCGAACCGATCAAAATCCGAATATTACCCGCCATTAGACATTTTGTTAAATACTCATAAACTTTTCCTAAATGAAATTTGGTATTATTGTTACTTTTAATCCGCTAATGTTTTTACCCTGCTCCTAGATTAGAATGTGATTCGATTTAAAATCAAAGCTAAAGATTCCTCAATCATATGCAGCTGAAATCCAAACTCCAACTTATCTACTATTCAGCGGGCTTTAAAAGAAAAAAATCGGCTAATAATTTCGAAAAAAGGCAAAATTAAGTACTTTCTTCTTAGCTGACGACTAATTTGTGACAGGAATACCGTTTAATTTTTTCATCTAAAAAATTCAGTCTAAACTTTTATGATTGGTTTTATGAGGATTAATTGTCGAATGCCTCAATTTTTGTCCGTTCTAGCTGAGCATTTTTTAAAAATCTAACCAACGAAGGTGACCATGCCGGTATGATCCATACTATAGAAGATGTTTCATATGCCATACGTTTATTTGAATTAGAAAGGCGGAATTTACTCTGGGATACTAAAGATTCATGAGGCAGACTTCACACTGCTTGGCAGGAACGTCTGGCCGCCTCTCAATTTTTTTCCACAGCTTTTGAAAAAAGTGTCAAAATATCATAGGACAATATACTTGAAGACCGCCACTTTTTTGCATAAACAAACAAATTACACTGTTTGGAATTATTTTTCGAAGATACGTAAAGTGTGTCTCATACTATATCATCTTGGCTTTTAACGTACCATCTCCCAAGAAGCAACTACTATCTTCAAAGCTATTGTAACTGGGTGAACCCAGCAACCAAAAATTTTATTCATAAGTAAGGGCAACGACATCAGGGACTCAGGCAGATGTCGACCACGTGTCGGCTGATATCAGTGTCAGTTTTGAACAACCCTTTTGTATCGTGCGCATCAAAAATGCTTCTTTCGAGTATATTACTAATTTTTCCGTTATGTCCCGGCGAAATCGCTTATCATTAGATGCAAAACAATGTTTATGAGCCCTGTGTATAACAAACCAGATTTTTTCTACGTTGGATAAACTGAATCAGAAGCTAGAAGAAGATCAAACTAATATAATTTTGAAACATATAACGCAAACTATCATAGCCGCCTGCTACATTAATTTTTTTTTGGAAGTGTTAAATTCATATGCTTTTAAAAAACAATATGAATCTGATAGTTTAGCTGAACCGATGGGTTAGACTATTTTACGTGTTCCTCCAAGTCACAAAACATTACCAAGTAAACTCAAATGTGAGAGCAGAAAATGTCACTCCACTCCTACTTTAACTCAGGGTGTAGTAAATTTAATTGAAAATGTAATTAATAATATACTAGTTGAAAGATGGAAAATTGCAGTACAGCTCATTTAAAAAATAGCAAAGCCCACTGCAATCAGTTTTAATGACGACTCTGAGAGTAAAACACAATTGCATTTTGAATAAAAGCGTCTTTATTTTAGTAATTATTGATAATTTTGTATATATTTAGTGTCCTGGTATTTAATATTAATACTAAACTTAAACACTTAAAAAATCCGTCGCTGATGCTCTGTCATTGGGACATTAGCACCTGGCGAGGTATTTTACGGCAATCTGCAGATTATTTTCATAATTGCATGAAAAGCCAAGACACACAAATAACACGCATAATGACATTTTGACAGTTGAACAATTTTATTATGGTAATATTGTGATTACGATTTATTATTATTATTATTTTAATTTTAAATTTTATTCTAAAATATTTTTTTTTATGAAATTTACATACTTTCCTTCTTAGTTTTTGGAAATAATTCATCTACAATGCAACACAGAGTGAGGAAATAAGTGAGTTTGTAATACACTTTAAGATAAGTAAGGAAATAATTACAGGAGCTACTGCATCCATACTACTGAACTTATTGCGGGAGTTCCAGGTTTACTTTCTCAATTATTTGCTGTACACATGATACAAAAAAGATAATCCAATTAAAGCGAATTTCGAAAAAAAAAATTAAAGCGTATCAATGGTGTATTCCGAATTAATTACGCGACTTAAACAATATACGCAGTAGCGTTGTGAAAAACGTATTACCCGCTAATGGCGACATATATTTTTGGGCGATTAAAATATTTATCGAATGGGAGATAAATACGTTTAAAATGTCGTGTACTCGAGCCTATTAATAACAATCATTGAACTGTATATTAAAAATTCTATTGGTGCCACACGACATCGGACTGGTCGTGAAAAAACGGTTTTTTCGAAAAGAATTTTTTTCGGTCCTTTTAAATTGAAAATTTCGCTTTTCTTTGTTTTGTAAATTGTAAAATGTAATTTGTCTTGGAAAAGTAGTTATTAATAAAATTCGTGTGTGCATTCCAAACTCAGGATTATCGAGTTTAACTTTTATGAACTCTTTATGATTTTAATTAATCAAAGTATAATGTTTGAGACACAGTCTATTTTCCTCATCAAGCTTGAGTACCTACTCGAAAATTTTTTACTAGTTATTAATTAACAGGCGTTTTTGGTTAGAAACACAATAGTATTCGTGATTTCGTTGGGACAATATGACTACAGGATCTGCCGAAATCGAGCAATGGATCCGTCACGGCTTAAAAGAAGAAAATGTAATAGATTTGGAATTAAACATCAAAGGCACGACGGAAGTGGGGACTGGTTATTTGGGCGACGTCGTATTTGTCGAGGCCGACGGTACCATGGAGGATGGTTCCAAGAAACATTACGATCTCGTCGTTAAGGTAGGAAAGAGGGAAGAGAAATTTAGAGAAGCTTATGCGGTACGTGTAGCAGGCACCAACGAAATTTTCGTTTACAACCAACTGATACCGATATTTAACAAATTCCGAACAGATCATAATCTGGAACCGATTCAGTATTTGGCCAAGTGTTACGGTACCCACTTAACCGACAATCGTGAAGTCGTTATTCTGGATAACCTCTCTAAATCTGGATACCAATTACATAACCGCAAAGTGCCGATGAACAGTCAACACGTAAACGTGGTTCTGAAAACTTACGGGCAATGGCATGCCCTTTCATTTGCTATGCGTGATCAAAATAGTGAATTATTCGAGAGAGTGGCCGGAAATAATCAATGTTTTTGGAAACAATCTATAGAAAGTGCGCGAACAACTGGATTCGATACTATCGTCTCGATCTTGGAGGCAAGCAAGGAAACTGCGCTCCTAGGGAAGCTTAGGGAAAAAATTAATAGTGATAGCTTTGCTGAAATCGTTACAGTGGAAGAGCCAACGTCGGTAATATCACATGGGGATTGCTGGAACAACAATTTTTTGTTTACGTATAAAGTAAGTGGGTTATTCAATTAAATCGATGCGATAATTTATAACACTTGCATTTGTTTAGAAGGACGATATTCCTCACGAAAATCCACAAAAAGTGGTTCTGCTAGATTTTCAATTGTCTCGCCTCTCCTCGCCGGTGTTTGATTTATCTTATTACCTCTACACGGCTTGTTCAGGGGAACAGCTCGAAAACTTTGAAGACCTTCTTCACATTTATCATTCTTCATTGTCCGAAAGCTTGAAGCAGTTGGGGACCGATCCAGAAAAGGTTAATCGATTTTATATATTTGCCTATTCCATTCACGAATTCCTATTTTAGGTGTTTCCCTATAGCTCTTTGAGGCAGCACTGGAGTGAATACTCAGTTTTTGGACTTATCTTGTTGGGCATGTTAATTTTTCCTCTAACGGTTGACAAAGAGGACACTTTCGACGCCAAGAATTTTGAAGAGTTCGATCCAACAGCGCTAGTGACTAAATATATCGAACCGATCAAAATCCGAATATTACCCGCCATAAGACATTTTGTTAATTTCTCATAAGTTATTCGATACCTGAAGGAAGTTTAGTATTATTGCTTCTGCTTCTAGATTAGAATGCGAATCGTTGCTGTATATCCACTATATCCAGTATTTGTTTTTCACTGTACTCAAATCAGTATGACCTGAAAAAATGAATGTTTAATTAATACGATAGAAAAAGGCCAAATTGCCCATTTTCCTCTTTATTGACGACTAATTTGAAATGCCGTTTATTTTATATAAAAAAAATTGAGATTTTCTTTAAAAATCTACTTTTCTCATCGTAGTGCAAAGTAAATAAATTTTAGAATAAAATGAATGAAAAAAAAAAAAAAAACGGAACAGAAATTAACGAAAATTTGGGGATTTGGTTAAGACAAGGGCAAGAAGGGTTCTCACTGTTCTCACAGAGAAAAAGAATTAGTCCCTAGAAATAAAGCATATTTCATCCAATTAAATAATTTAATTTATATCGGGCAAGTAAATATCAAATTCGGGGAATTATTTTTTTAATTCGTCTCTCAACTAAAATATATTTGTACTTGCCAGGATCAGTGCTATACTATTACAAGAAATATATTTGTATTATTAGAATTCTATATTATTTATTGTCAGAAAAGGGGTATACTACGTAAAATTATTATTTATTTGCGAAGACTTTTCGTTGAAGTAACAAAAATGAAATATTTATTTCAAAAAATGTAAAATTAATTTACATTATAAGGAAGGAGCAACTTGAGAACAATAATATTTAATTGAACGAAATGTAGCGAAAGTCGACGTTTTGGTAAAATGAAATTTGCTATCTTCTGGTCGGTTTCTTCCACTTTATTTACTGTGAACGCAATTTTATATTTGTAATTATTTTTTTCGTAACGCTTGTTGTTAAAATGATTTAATTCAGCTCAGGGAAAAATATCTCCCTGTGTACGCATTTAAAAAAAAAATTTGGTTAGTGACTTCATACTTCTGAACATATTGCGGGAGTATCCGTGTGACTTTACCGAATATTTTCGATAAATATGGTGCAGAAACAAACATCGAACCTGAAATTTAAACGAAAATTAAAACGTATCAACGGTGCGTAGTATTTCGAATTAATTACACAGTTTAAACAATATATTCAGTCGCTTAATGAAAAACAAATTACTCGGTAACGGCGACATGCATTTTTGGGCGATTATTTATCGAGCTGTTCTCAGCCGGCAATTAAAAATACTGGCCTGGAAAAGTTTTTAGCGTTCTTCCTGGTTCTTTGGGCGGCATCGTATTTGTTGATACTGTCACCTACATAAGCAAATAATTTTAATTAACAATTTTCATCGGTCTATTTGATCTATTAAACGTGCACTAGAACTTAATTCAAACGAATGTGGATTATGAAATTTTGGGAAAAAGACAAGCAAAGAAACATTAAAAAGTAGTTCTAATATTAACCCTCAACTGGTATAAAATTTTTTCATAACGTAACTGGAATTATGGGGTCGCTGGTGACTCCAATTTAAAATTGATATTCGAGGAAATTAAAGGGAGAAATATGTTTTTTTTTAAATAAGTTAACATAATATTGAACAAACTGTTATAACACCGTACAAAGTATTTATTTAGTAAAAAAAAATATTATTGAAATGCAAGGAGACAACAAAATATTTACAGGCTTCCGCAAAATTGGCACTAAAACTCAAACTGACATTTTCATTCATCTAAATCGACGTAATATCGCTTCTTTAGTCTTCATTAGACCAGCTGTAACAAAAAAAAAAACGTTATTAAAATGTTAATAAACAAAATGACAGCGACGTTCACTCTCTCACACAAGGCTGTAGTGACGGCGTTACAGACAAATCTCTGTTCAGAATATTGCTTGCAAACGGGTTTTCCACATTTTGAACACGTTATTGGAGACTTTCTATCTTTTGATAGTGGACGTAGAGAGCATCTCTTTTTTGAGGAGGAGGTTGCAAATCAGTGACGTCGGGTTGACTTTGTTCTGCTAATGCGAGTACTTTTCTTATTATGTTTTTTATTTCCTTAGGGATATTCAGTGAGATCCGTTCTTGTAAATGTTCTTGTATCAGGGCTTTTTCAAGTAATGCATTAAATTTTTTTCTGGTGATCTTACTTTCTAATTTCGCAGCTCTCCAATGTATTATTTGCAGCATATGCCTGGAATGCTATAAACTCCTGGCATCTCAACTGAAATTTTGTCCTTGACGGATCGAAGATGTTGAAAGATTTTGGGACAAGTGGTAAATCTGGTTTTGACGTTATATTTTTTAAGAACTTTTGATATGTGTTCAGTGATGTTTTGAATATAAGGAAAGGCAAGAGTTGAAAGTGTGGGAATGCTTTTGGTTTCATTGCTATTGGAAGGTTGTGGTGAAGTGTATTTTGTGATGGAACGCTTAATATCTTTAGCTAGTTCGTGTCAACAAAAACCAACGCAGGAGGAATCCAGAAGTTTTATAAAAAGTAAATTTGTAAACACTTCAGAAATTGCAGCTGCAGTGTCATCAGATGTAATTCGGTCTGTTCTGGTATCAGTATTGTTTAATAGTATCGCGGATAATAAAAACAAAAACTATTGAATCGCACCACACCATGTTGCCAAATGTAAGAGATTTTAATAAGATTTATTGCGCTTGGAGTCGGCCTTGACCCCAGTATACCAGTTAAGGGTTAAGATTGCTCATCAAACGGTTCAATGCTGTGATTCTGCGCGGAAGTTTGTTGATCATTGTCATGTCCAGCAAAAACTACCCGTCTTTGTGACAGGAAGTGAGAAAATAGTACGAATCAATAAAGCACTGCGATAAAAGCTAACTTAATTTGTTACGTACCAAAAATCTACTAGAACCAAACAAAGCCAATTGCGTCGCCAAAAAAAAAACAAATATTTTCAGCTGCTGTCAATAACCACGTCAAAAATCTGGTGCAAAAGTCATATTTCTCTGAAGCAAGTCAAACAATTGCGTGAGACTTTGATCCCCTTTTTTATTTTAATTTAACTATGTAGATTTTCTATATAGTTCCTACCTTAAACAGTCAGAATACAAAATGTTCTCGGCTCAATTTCCATTTAAAGGAAACGTCAATGTATCTAAAAATCTCAAAAACAAAGTTAAATTTAACAGTGATATTCAATTTCTAAGTGCCAACAATCGACTATAGCTAAGAAAAGTTTATTTAGCGTTGTTATCCTATTGCCGTTTATCGATCAGAGTTAGCCTAAAAGCCCGCCTATGTCACAATATACCAATTCACAAGGGCCTTATCGCAACACATTTTTTCGTTTCGTATAGTGCAAGTTGCAATTCACTAGTTGCTATATGATGACTAATTCGTTGGTCTTAAACCGCATTAATTTTTGTGATACTGTGTAAAGACCATGTTTGGATTTGTGTGACATCAACATAATACAAAGGGTCCAAAAGTCGTGTTTGCTTTTCATTTATGGTATACATACCAGGTATCCAGTTTCATATAAACTTAAAGAAACAAGGTGGTCTCTGATTTAAAATATAATATTGAATAAGTGTTCTCATTACCTTTATAATAAAATTAGCTTTCACACTGACGTGCATACGCTGAATTTGAGATTTCGTATATATATATATATATATATATATATATATATATATATATATATATATATATATATATATATATATATATATATATGTATTTCCAAATGTAGAACACGTTTTCATTTATTGCCTGTTAAGGATCAGATAATATGCAAGTATCTATTTGAATGTGACAATAGAAGTGTCTATGGGCTGAACTTGAACTTTTTGTGATTTTTTTCAACTCCTTTTTGCAACCACAGTGCTAAAGTTTGTGATACGTTCTGTATTATTTTGTTACGAACTTCCTTTGAAGCAAACATTACCTCAGTGTATCTATGCAATTCAATAAATGTTATGATTATTTTTATAATACAGATAAACCATAATTAGTTTTATTACAGCTATGCTCGTGCGTTAGACTTAAACGTTCTAGTTTTAATAAACTTTCTATATTTAACGCCCCACGTCGCACGAGGATCTCCTTTAGCTAAATAACTACAGGTTATGAGTGACGACAAATAGTGCTATTTAGACAGTTATTAAAGAGCACAATAGCACAAACGAACAGACGTTATTGTTTAAGATAAAATATTTCCACAGAGCTTTCCGACAAAGCGGTACTACTTTAGGATGTTCTGTTACGTCGGACAAAATACAACAAAAATTTAATTAATATAGGTTCGTCTGATACAATAAGTAAACAAACTTTTATTACAGGAAATTTTTTAAAATTAACTCTCATATCACAAAAACTCAACAAAACTTTAGGTTGTTGTTAAAAACTGGTATGTAATAATGAATGGAATCCTATTCTCCAGTCATAAAAAATTGTATACTATTCAACGATTGTGGCAACCGGCAATTGAGCTACGAGGTTATTTGGCACGAGCGGAGCGAGTGTTTAAATGAACGAGTGACTTACGTGTTGCATACTATATTTTTTCTACGGCCGTTAGATGATGGATACATTGTTGGAAAACCAACACCAATACATTCACTGACATGACCGTCAGAATTGACAAACGTCAAAATCCAAGCCATGCGGTAAAATCGCCGAAAACATCCGATTGCCGCCAAACCAGTGCGGTAATATCCCGGAAATGTCCGAAGGGGCTCGGATCCGTGGGACAAGAAACTCACACGGTAAAGTGAGGTTTTCCGCAGAGGGGAGTAGAAAAAATAAATTGTTATACCATTTCCTGGCTAACCAAAATAAAAAGTTGAATGTTCAATTAAATAAAATCCAATCTCTACCACGTGGTAAATTGAAGCAGATAAAGCAATTTTTGTTGGAGGGTACTTGAATGGTTGATAAAAATTTCCTTCTTGTTGTATTATATTTGTTATTTGTTGCGTAATTTTAAAAATTTCCCGATTATGCATATGCAAGACATATGGGAATATGCAGATACGGAAGAATCAGAGTTTTTCTTTTCTTGATGACTCGTGTTACCTTAATTTGAATATCAAAAATATCGTAATGTAGTTTATTTATAATATTAGTAGTTAGTTTGAAAAATTACTTTTACTAATTCATAATGCTAAAATATTTTAAGTATATTGGAGTATTGAGTATAGACGCCTTTCGCCAAACAAACGGCGTTCGACTATTTAAGTTAGCTTAATTTCACTTTTAAGCCACATCTGGTGCTGAAGAATTGCCAATCTGGTTCCCAACTCGGACGAAGCCGACTTATCACACCCTGTAGGCGGCACTGTATTATTGAAATTACATTTCTCAAAATTGTGACTTGCAACACGGGCCGTTGAAAAGTTGTCGCCTGATACAAAATAGTTTTAAAAACCGTCTGATCTACCACAAAACACTTCAAACGTCATATTCAATGTTTATATTAATTGAAAAACCGTGCCTATAAACAAACACTCCTTTTAAAACGAAATTTATATTTCGTCACTATCTCGTTTTAACCAAGGCCGAGCCCTGTGAAATTATAACTCAGTTCCAAATCATCTACGAGACGTCATGGTGTGTTATTGCGAGAGTAAGAATTGCGAGTGCGAGATTGGCGGATGGATTCGCGAAGTATTAAAAGACAAGCACGCCGAAGATGAGCTTCAAGTTAAGATAAATGGGAATGCGGAAAAAGGAACGGGATACTTGGGCGACATCGCATTCGCCCAAGTTTCCGTTTATAAAAACAAACATCTCCAAAAGCAATACGATTTGGTGGTAAAGATTGGCAAAACAGGTGACGCGATATCGCAAAGGTTCCCCGTACGACTGTCCTGTCAAAGAGAGGCTTTCGTGTACCAGAAAATAATTCCCGCATTCAACGCATTACTGGCCGAGAAGAATTTGGAACCACTCGATGTAACGGCCAAATGCTTCTCCATCTTGCAAAAGGAAGAACTTGAGTTATTGCTATTACAAAATTTAGCTACGCTGGGATATGAAATACACGACAAAAAACTTCCTATGAATTTGAACCATCTTAAGCTGACTTTGCAAGCTTACGGGAAATGGCATGCGTTGTCGTTCGCGATGCGCGATCAGAAAAGAGAATACTTCGATGGGCTGTGCGCCAATCTCCAATGCGTATGGACCGAGTTTATAAAAGCGAGCTCGGGAGAACATATAGATAACTCACTGAACATCATCAGCGGCGTATTGATGATGAAAGGTGAAACGGAGCTTTTGAATAGGTTAAAGGAAAAATTGCCACGTAAATGTTCTGATATCATGCTCGGTATTTTATCCGCTGAAGAGCCACAGTCCGTTATGCTTCATGGCGACTGTTGGAATAACAATTATATGTTCCAGTATGAGGTAAGCTAATAGTGGAGAGGGAGTCGGTTATTGGTGCATTTAAAGTAAATCCATAAAACGATAAATTGGATTGTTGTCAAAGATAATAAAAATATAAATACTTTATGGTTTAATAAAGATAATTTAGTTTTGGTTTTGATTCTTTTTACGATAAAATCAAAAGCAATACTTTGCTATGAATTTGAGATCTGGCTTTATAATTTTCATTGAATCACATTTTTAATAAAAATACTTTAAAAATTTAATGAACTTTCAATTTGCCATGCGCCTTTTAAGGGCTACCTTGTAACAGCTGCTTAAGTTTATATCCTGGTGGTTTAAGCAGCATTGAGTGTCATTGACATTAGAATTTCATTTAATATATAATCTTTAGATGTACTATTCTGGAAATTTGTTTTATATTTAATATTAATAATGTGTGATATCATAGCCCTTTATGTAGAATACCTCGTAAAATAATGATATTTAGCACAGTTTTAAGTAATTTTTGAATTTATGATATTGGTATGGTGTTTATGGTAATTAATTAATTAATATAATTGCCACACATATTTCCGACCATGGATATCAGTAAAGCTGATTATTCAAAAGCAGGGCAGTGATATTGCAACAAACTCCAAAGATTAACTTTCATTTTGAGAAATATTCAAAATTTAGGAAATTCCTTATTCTTTTAAATTCTATTAGAAGCATGAAAGGTCAGTTCCTAACGATTTATATTAATTTAATTCGTATTCATTACTATCTACAAAAAAATATTTATGAAAAGTGCCTGATGAGTGATGCAGAAAAATGCAGTTTTAAGTGTAGTTCTATTACCGTCCTTTTAGAGTGAAGACGGGGAAAAGAAACATCCGACGAAAACCGTTTTGATAGATTTTCAAATTGCGAGAATTGCGTCGCCGGCACTGGATCTGGCGTATCACCTGTATTTAGTATGTTCAGCGGAACAGCTCAACCATTTTGACGAACTACTGAATATATACTTTACGTCACTGAGCGAAAACCTAAGAGCCCTTGGCACCAATCCCGATAAAATATTCACTTATGAGGACTTGCTAGATCATTGGGAGAAGTATTCAGTGTTCGGTGTTATACTGGCCGGTATAGCGCAGATGGTAAACTTTATGAGCAAAGAAGAATCCGCGTTGATGGATCTCCAAGACAGAAATGAGGCGAAGGTGCAATTTCGCGCGATTTTGGATAGGCACAAGGATGAACTTGCATCGCGGTTTATTCCCGTCGTTAAACATTTTCTCAATTTTCAAAGGCATTAGCTGAAAACCGAAGTTGAAAGTACTTTCCACGATTTCATTTCAAAATTTGGCATCTCCTTTTTACCTAAATTAGAAGCTACGCTCGGTCGAAGATCGCCTGAGAGCAACCCTAACTCAAAACTTCAAATGAAAGGCTATTTTATGAATATGATCAAGTCCGTTCCTCCAGTTCTCACAGAATTAGTCATGTAAATTAGCTTGAACCAGCAACTACTACAGGCGTAATAACTTTTAGACTGATTCGACATAACCAATAAAATAATCTGCAAGGTAATTGGACTCGATCATTTCCGAATCATAGTTTATTACTTCATGATATGCTATAATAATTAATCTGTTTTGTTTAATGTGTTTGGAGTCTTCGGAATGGCCCTGATCGATCCGGACTCAGTGCACGGTATTGGGCTAAAGGAGTTGCTGACCTTCTATAGGAGGGGCGGCATTCTGGACGCCCTCTAGAGCGGTCCGGGGGCACAACGGGCCCATCTGGTGGCCTAAGTGCTTGGACGCCCGCGAGGGCGCCCCCCTTTAAGACCAATACCAATAATACCAATGGCATACTAAACAATAGTCAACAAGTTTGATAAATGGCATTTTTCTGCTCCCGTATGTAAAATACCTAATTACACACCGATCTAGCGTGCGGGAAGCGTTACTTTACTACCTCAGTTTCGTTTCCCATGAATCCGAGTCACTTCAGACATTTCCGGGATTTTACCGCACGGATTTGGGAGCAATCGGATGTTTTCGGATATTTCCCACATTTTGAATTTTGACGTTTGTCAATTCTGACGATTATGTCAGTGAATGTATTCGTGTTTTGTGAAAATGTACCCAAATGTACCCAAAAATTAAATATAATAGACAAATTGACCTAACTCCAAAATGGCAGGTTCAGGTTTTTATCTAAATTCAATCAATTGAATCTATTTAACGCTACGGGTGTTCGATTCCCGCATAGGAGAATCGAAACTGCCTTTATCCACGTTTGCGAAATTGACCCAATTCAAACGAAGAATCTTTCACGGAGCAATTAATAACGTTCCTTGCTACATATTCCAGCCACACACTGACCCCATCCTTTCAGTATCAATCATCCAGTTTTCAATTAAAATGATTGTCTCCAGTTGGCTTACATAACACCGAGTCAGGTCCTGCTACGTAAGCTTTACGTAAGGGGCAAATAGTCAAATCCAATAACATTCAGTTTCAGTCAATTTCCGGTGAATAATATTCGACGGCGAAGGTCTATCGCTTTGACGGCCCTTTTGACTCTTTAATTTCGGGATATATTTGTCTCGAAATTGCCTTAGCGCGAAAGACGGATGTAAATTATAATTAAGGAAATTAAAATGAGACCCTATATATTTTTTACTATCATATTGGTCTCGATTTAAATATTCCGGTCCGTATTTTACATTTGGTAGTTGTTTTTTTTTAACAGTGACAAGGAAAAAGGCAAAAAATAAAAGAATCACGTAATCGAGACTTAGTTTACTATTATGATAATTTTTAAACAAGAAACTTCAACAATCGTTAATTTGTTAGAAGTATGGGAAACAATTAAAAAAATTCCAATAAAAACATAAGTAAATTGCGAGTTTAATTAATGTTTCTAATGTTGAGATTTGTTTGTACTTTGACAGTACAGTTTTTCCTAAAGGATACAGTGATGACTTCAGTTGGGGCGTCCACCAACTTAGATCCGTGAAAGGCCCTTGGACTATACTTGCGGCAGGACCTGGCTCCTGCTGCTTTGAACTCCAAAATATTTACATCAACGAACTTAGGTCAAAATTCTGCTTCAGTCAGAATGATCAGTCTTTATAACGAGTACCGTAACAATTTATTTTACTTAAGTCTAAATTGTTTTAAAATGCAAATGAAATTAATGTTCCAAAGAGTTTTTTTCGTTGTATTTATGGTAGTACTTGGTATATGGTAGTAGTTTTTAAACACCGGGTGGATGCGGAACTAGAAGTAATGCGAGAAAGTTTCCATGTCTCTTTCGTAAATCCCTTATTGTCTCTGAATTCAACTGAAATTTTAAAATTATACACTAAAACGAAAATGTAAAATGAAAAAATCACACGAAAATTTCTTAAGTAAACACTTTTGAGTCAATGAATTTATCTGACACGAGCGGGACAACTGCTTAATAAAAGAGTGACTTGGAAAGTTTACCAAACGTGTTGCATACTATTCCATACTTGTTTTTGGATATATTTTTGCAAAACCACACGAATTCATTCACTGACGTGACTTTCAGAGTTGACAAACGTCAAAATTATAATATGTAATATGTGTGGCTTGGATCAGTGGGAAACGAAACTGGTGTGGTAAAATGACACTTTCTTCACACTTGATATTTTTTCTACTCCCTTATCTAAAATGCCAATTATATACAATATGCAAATATGTACCCAAAAACTAGCAAACTAGAAAAAGTATAGTGTGCAACACGTTTGGCATTTTTTTTTCTATTTGCTTCTGTAAAATACCTAATTATACACTGACCTAGCTCGTGGAAGCGTCACTTTACTAGGTGAGTTTCTTATCCCACAGATCCGAGCCCTTTCGGACATTTCTGGAATATTACCGCACGGGTTTGAGCGCAATCGGATGTTTTCAGAGATTTTACCGCACGGCTTGAATTTTCACGTTTGTCAATCATAAAGGTCATATCAGTGAATTTATTCGTGTTGTTTTGGAAAAATATACTAAAAACTAACGGTTCTAACGGACGTTCGGTAAACTTTTTAAGTCACTCGTTTATTGCGTAGTATACTATAAGTCAGTCGTTTACCGAATTTGTTTCATAATATACAATTATTACATTAATTAAGTGAAATTAAATTCGCCAATGTTATGTGAGGACGAAGGAGCCTGACTGTCATTGAGTATCAAATTTAATGTTAAATTCGTAAAACAATTAATTTTGTGTAAAGCAATTTGTGACTGTACTACGAAATTCTTCGTAGTACAGTCACAAATTTGCCCGGTTGGTACAATTTTTCAGCGACGTTTGACACCGATTTTAAAGAGAATTAAATTGATGGGAATTGAAGATGATAAATGCAAATAATTCTAGATGTGAAACTAGAAAATATCCTTTGAGAAAATAAATTTACCGTAAATAATATATAGAGAAGAAAAGTCCTAAGAGGTATTCTCATGGAGATTGTCGGTGTGCGAATATGATAAAATGTTCCATGCAGAGCTAGAACTGAGAAATAAGTGTAGGTTCGCCTTTTTTTGGATTATTATTGAATGGTTTTATATTTATTTATTGTCTACATTGACACTGCTTTTTACAAAACTTCTGGCTCCCTCCTGCGTCGGTTTTTGCTTAGTCGAAATTGCTGACGTTTCTCCAATCATCCTGTTGGCTTCTTCAGAGCTTGATTGAAACTGGCTCGTATTTTACTCTGTACCTGCTTATATATTGTTTGAGGGGTGGAGGGGGCGCTAATGAGGGGTATAAACACCGTCTCGGATGACTGATTTCCAAATTTTGTAAAAAGCATTACAGCAGATTGTGGAAGTTTACATGGACACTATTTTTCAATACATTGTTATCCTTTTTGTTAATCCCTTATATCACTGAAATTATACAGGCTGTTAATGAAAACCCTTGCTTCAACGAATTTCTGGGACCCGTTATGAGCCCTACATTTTTTTTTTTAATTTAATGTATCCAGACTTCTGCAGTATATCTCTTTAGTGGAGATAATGCAATTCTAGTTTAAGGGCTAATTGCCTCAACGGGCCATTTTAAAATGCAGTATAATTCGTCCAATAAATTGCCAGTTTTATCGTCCACGAACGAATTGCGTATAGAGCGGGCCTTTTTTGTCGTTGTAATTTCGAAAAAAGCCGGCGGATATTATTAGAATATCAATTCTCTCGCTGACTTTCGCCCGCACAAAGCTAACATTACCAGTCAATCCATAATAGTTACATTCCAATACATTATTGTTTCTCTGACATACATATCGTTCATTTTGACACGTTACATGGCGCGAGGATTTATGTTGTTTTGAGTACAACACCTAAGTTGGTCGAGCTGGTAAATATAGAACGCTGCGGGACGGTACACGGCAATAAATTACAAACTTGCAAAAGTTGATTGTACGTATTTTCTCCGCGACCGACACAGGATTTGGCAATTGCGAAATCACATTTGTTAATGATTGTCAACTTCCATAATAATTTAGTAGAATTAGATTGGAAAATATGGTTTTTTCCATGTATTTGCTCCTTTTAACCAATATAAAAAAAAATTATGACAACAGTTGATTTAATTGTTATTGCACAAACTTACTTAGTGACGGTAGCACAAAATAAGAGACATAAGAGAAATAGAAGAACAAAATAACAACAAAATAATGGAAAGTGTATCTATCGAAGCCAGATATGGAGGTGCATAAAAAATACTTAAAATGTATTTAAAAGTTGAAGGAGAAACTTCAAGGTATATAATAAGAAGGAAGGTAAAAAGGAACAAATTAAATTAAATGTGCATAAGACAGCTGTTGAATTCGAGGAGAGAATAAGTAGGATAGGGTAGTGAAAGTTTGTAACTGAAAGTTGGTGGGAGAAAAAAAGTAAAAGAGATAGGAAAGACAATGAAAGGAAAATTTTTAAAGTGTTAATATTAAGCCGATGAGGCATATGAAAGAATGTGGAAGTGATTGCAAGAGACAAGGACATAAATTAGCAATTAGACGAAACAAAAATAAAAGAAACGCCATGCAATGTAAGCAGTAGTAGAGAAGTATAAAAATATAGTTTTAGGTTACAGGTTTAGTTTTGAAAATAAACTAAGAACTGAGAGAATATCTAGTCGTTATAAGAACAGAGAAACGAGGAGAGATGTGCGATGGATGAAGGGATTGTACGAAAGAATAGAATGACCACAATTTATTAATTTAGCTTGTAAATAGTAATCAAAAGTTTGTCAGAAAAACAAAGCTATTAGCAATTTAATTAAACAGAATAAATGTTTGTTTTGCAATGACAGCTTGTTATCAAAAGTTCGGCTCACCCTCTAAAAACGAATAAATAGGTATTCGATAGGCCACCTGTTTCGACATTTATTCAGACCTACTGTAAATTGAGTTTTGCTATTAGGTTTAGTTTAGAATACAACTTTAAGCTAGGTATACTTAGTCGTTTTATTAGAAGTTTCTACATCCTAAATGCGATACAGTATTAATTTAGATGTTTCTACGACAATTCAGGTTGGACATATTACCACATAAATAAATCTCATTCTTAATTTATTTTCGACTATTACCGCGTATCGTACATCGTCACGAGACATTATGCGTGGTTATACCAATCGTCACTATTTTTTAAGAGATCCGCCGTCGAAAGTGCTTTTTACCTATGCGGTCTATTGCCGCAGCACACAGTTTTATTGATATGAAGCACCACAAATATTATCAAATTAAAAAAAACTTCGTAAATACACACCCCTGTTTTTCAACACAAACTCTGAGAACTACAAATTATTGACTACCTTTGACCAATATATTTTTATCGAAATAATACATCACGAAGCCAATTGCAATTGCAATTGGTAAAACGCAAATACTTCCCACAGATCTACGAATTTCTCCACTACGAACGTTGACGTGCACTCCTCTACACACACCATTGTCATCTTGAAGCATTTTGACGATTCTCTCCAGCCACTCACAGGTAGCTGCATTGTAATTTTTGACAAGCACTAAACAACCGACCTTCATCAAGTCATCTTGTTTCTTCTATTTTGTGCGTGTCTGAAGTTCACTAAGAAATTTCTTTTGCCATCTTGACCAATAATGTTGGGTAACAGTTTGTAATTTTTGCCACTTGTCACAAACGATCCTCAGAAACTTCGGTGACCTTTAACTTAGGCAAAGTTGTCATACTCTTAATAATCAAAAAATGTGCCGGAGTTAGGGCTGTAAAGTCTTTGGGGTCAGAGGAGAGAGGACAGAGAAGCCTGGCGTTTAGGATTGAGTCATTTGAATCAAAATAATATAAAAGTCTTCAAATGTAAACCAAATTTTTTCTAAAAACCGCTTAAAAGTGTATTTGGGTCTTTTTATTTGGACATCGGAGGTTTTACGCGTCTACCGACAAACCTTTTAAGGGTTGCTAAAGACGCTTCAGTCGTTAGTTCCGTAGATAACTCTAAATACACCGCCCTAGTACTCATGCAGACGAACAGGCAGATATATCTCTTAACAAGTTTAGCAAAGTCAGTTTAAACATTAAAAAATGGAACGATATTTGTTACTTTTACATCTAGTAATTCACACATTTGATATTCAAGACTAGTTGATTTAGCCATAAAACAGGTCACACAAGATTTGACAACCCTTTTACATTCATTGCGACCAGAAATAGGCCAATATTTTTCCCTAATTGAATCTAACAAAACTTGTTCACCGCAGTGCATTTATCTCATATGCTCTTATCTCACTATTGATTTAGTTAAAGCATGCCCCTTGGGAAGAATAATTGGATGGTTGCTTTAAGACGTTTTTGTTTAAAAATGGATTTAGCGATAGTATTTTGCTACGTTGGCTAAACTGTTTACCTTGTTTTAGATTCTTATATTCTTCCGGAAAACACTCTTTCTGGGTATGGCTAATTAGGAGGTGAATTGATGTCTTAATCTCGATAGGTGTTAGACAAAAATAATTTTTTGAATAATTTGCTTCTACCTTACTTTATGTTTAATTTTATTTTTCATAAATCTACGAGTGTAAGTTACTATTACTTACGGTTACTGTTTTCATGAAAGAAGAATACCTATTTATTAGGTCATTTAAAATCTCATTCTCATTATCACAACTGTTAACTTCAAACAATTGTTCTGGAATTTCTAAATCTATTTCACACTCGCCTTAAACATCCAATCACACTTAATTAATGACAACAACCCAGGACC